ATCGCTCTTCGTTTCTAGTGTACGGCTAGCGGGACTCGAACCCACAAGGCGCGAAGCGCCGCCACATCCTAAGTGTGGTGCGTAAACCAATTTCGCCATAGCCGTTTCTTTCTGGAATATGTATACAAGTTAGTTGCCTGAAAGGAGTATAAGCATGTCCACTTCGTGGCCTCTGGTGACACAACCGCCGCGAAGCGTTCATCTTTCCCACCCACCCCAGGGTGGGGTGGTGTCGGCTCCATTCTTTTCTTGCCCAGGCAGCGAAGGAAGCTGACGAGCGGAAAAAGGGATTTGAACCCTCAACCTTAGCCTTGGCAAGGCTATACTCTACCATTAAGCTATTTCCGCCATCAATCCACTTTGTGGTGCGCTCGCCGTGAGATGAGAGGCCGAAGGAAAGAAAATCAAATAAAAGAAAAGAAAACGCTCTTGCGAGCGCGGCTCGCCAGCAGAGCAGAGTGGGCCTAAGTAGATTTGAACTACTGACTTTACACTTATCAGGCGTATACTCTAACCAACTGAGTTATAGGCCCATGCTTGGAAAGACTTGAACTCTCAACCCCCAAATCCGTAGTTTGGTGCTCTATCCAATTGAGCTACAAGCACATTCATTCGTCCCTTTCGTCTAGGGGTATAGGACATCGCTTTTTCATGGCGTAGCGGAAGACTTAGATACCAATGATCCGAACAATCAATATTGCAATGCAGCCCCGAACAAACATCATCATCATCATTCCATGGTGTGAAGGGGTCTGGCGCTTCACACAGGAAGACTGCGCCAGCCCCAACCATACACAGACGAAGGAGATGGGGTTAGACGAAGAAGAGGGGAAGATGGGGAATGTCGTCAACACCAAGTCTTCGGCACAGGCCCAAATAGTCCCTCGTCAAAATGTCTGAATCCCAATGTCGAGTCTGGATCCAATGTCGTCAAGTCTCAAGTCACAACTCTCTCTCTCTGTAGTAGTCCGCTGATACTGAGAAGTTAGGTGGTGAGAGGGGAAGAAGAGGTGGTGGACTTAGAAGAGGAAGAAGAAGAACTCTCTCTCTCTCTCAGTCCGGTACTAACCTGTAAAGTTGGCGCCTTGATGCAGGTACCTCGGAGCTGGAGCTGGAGCTATGGCGCCACAGGTAAGTCTCGCTGGCCTCCGCCAGCCATCTCTCTCCCACACTACCACTACCACCTACTAGCGCCCAGCGCTGAAGACTACCGCTATGGCTACTAGCGCCCAGCGCTGAAGACTACCGCTATGGCTACTAGCGCCCAGCGCTGAAGACTACTGCTAGCGCTAAGCTACCTCCTGCAGCGCTCCTCCTGAGTGCTGCGGCCGAATCCTGAAGACTACTCGTCCTACTGTCCAACTACCTACCCGTGAAGTGCATGGGAAACCCCTATGTACTACTCGGCCTGGACTGGCTGCAGGCGAGGCAGCTGTCCAGGAGGCTGCTCTTGCCAATGCCGTAGGGAGTCAGGGGCTGCCGCTGCAGCTCCTGCTTGAGGCAGTCGTGGGAAACAGGCTAAAGATAGCCTGTTCCCGAAACCCTGTTATTGTGCCTGAGTCTTAGGGTAGGTCGATCTTATGAGGGCCCGAAAGTGGCCCTCCGTTTCAGGCTGAAAAGCCTCAGGGCTGAAAAGCCCTGATATAGGCTGAAAACGAAATAGGGCGTGGAGGCCCTCGTTTTCAGTTTCAGGCTGAAACGACATGGGGCCTGTAAGCTATTTTCTAGGCTTTTAGGCTGAGAATGCGGGACGGGCCCTGCAGGCCCGTGTGGCCACGCAGTATGCCACACACCCCCCTCCTTGAAAGACCAAGCTTACCTGCGAGGGTGAAGTTGTCTGAGTGCGCGTAGATCAGCGGTGCGGATGCTTTCAAATCTGCTCCTGAAATCCACCGAGTGTCGTCGCGATCGCATGCTTTGAATGTAACTTTGTACTGTTGCGGCTTGCTGCCGTACTTGCGATGGGAGATGACGCGGTCAACTTCCTGATGGCCATCCATAGAAGGAGGGTCCTGCGATCGTCGGCCTGGAAAGTCGTCGCTCTTAGCTGGCGTGTATGTTGCCAGCTTCGAGGCGTGAAAGACCGGATGGACCGTCAAATGCGGGGGGATGTTGATCACAAATGAAGGGCCATCGGCCCGGGCTCATCGCCCGCGGCTGATGTTACGGGCCATGGTCCAAACCACTTGGGAAGCAGTTTGCGTGAGACATCCTGTTCCAGTGCAAACTCTTCTGCGGAAACCCAAACCAGGTTGCCGGCGCGGATGGGACATGGCACGCGATGCCTGTTGGCTTGCTGCTGCATGCGGACTTGAGCCTTTTGCATATTCGCACGGGCTTGAGCCAGCAATTCCCTGTACTTCCGGACGGAAGCGTAAGAGCAAGCGGCATCGATGTCAGCTGGTCGTGGGAGGAGAAGGTTATCTGTTTTTGCGCTATGACGATTTCCGTGAAATTACAAGAACCTACTCAAATTAATACAGTAATTATAATAAGACCAATAGAAACTTCATAAGAAACCATTTGAGCAGCAAATCGTAGTGCTCCTAGAAAAGTATATTTGGAATTACTAGACCAACCTGCTGTTATAATACGGCCTTTCCGTCCACCGTGGTGCAACTCGAATGGAGTCACGCAGATCGTCGGGTGCACCGAAGTGTTGTAGGCAAACTCGATAACGGAGAGGCGGTCAACCCAATCTTTCTGGTCCGGACGGATGAGCGTACGAAGCATCATTTGAGCAGTTTGATGTGCCCGCTCCGTTTGCTCGTCCGTCTAAGGATGCCGAGCCGAACTTGGTTTCATCTTCGTGTCGGACTTCTGTATGAGAGCAGGCCAAAATGCCGACATGAAGCGAGTGTCGCGGTCGCTGATTATATCTTCCGGTACACCGTGGCCACAAATCCAACCGGTGTGCAAGAGGCGTGCCAGCTTGGGAGCCGTGGAGTAGTACTTGCAAGGGAGAAAACGCGCGTACTTACTCAATCGGACCACGACCGTGAGGATGCCGTCGTGTCCGAGGCGGTCGCGGGGAAATGGTCCGGTGACATCCTTGGCAATGGAGAGACCGGGTTCCTGCGGGATCGGCATCGGGCGCAGCTCGCCATAGGGGTTGCGGTTGCGGGGTTTGCTTCGTCGGCAAACTTCGCAAGAGTCGCAATACCTCATGACGTCGGTGATGAGGTCGGGCCATCGGAATCGTTGTCGAAGCCGTGCAATAGTGCGGTTGACTCCGAAATGGTCGGCGAGTTGCGCATCATGATACTCACCGAGGAGGCGAGTCCGAAGACGGCGGTCGCGTGGGACATATAGTATGTCCTTGCCCCGCGAGTGCAGGAGCAAGTACCCGTCGGCGATGCGATAGTGGCTGGCCGGCGGGTGATCCGAAGATAGCTGCGCATATAGCGTGGGGAAGTCTAGATCGGACTCATAGCCCCTGATGAAGTGTCGCTGGAGCTCCTCGTCGAATGCGAAGGCATGATGTGTCATAGCGCAAAGATCAGGTCTTTGCGAGAGTGCATCTGGTGCGCGATTGGAGAGGCCGGGAAGATGTTTCGGTGTGAAGTCAAATTGGTTGATGAAGTACATCCATCGTCCGATCGTGCTGCTCACCGTATCCTGCGTCTTGTAGTAAGTCAGTGGGTTGTTGTCCGTAACCCATGTGAATCTACGACGCCCAAGGAGGAAGTGCCGCCATCGCTTGAGAGCCATGACGAATGCGAGCAACTCCTTCTCCCTTGCATCATCCAGCGAGTTGATGGGTGGCACTTTGTGGCTGAAATACTCCACAGGGTGCCAGTCGTCGCCATCGTGTTGTTCCAAGACTGGCCCAATGCCAAGGCCGGAAGCGTCAGTTGTCACTCTCGTAGGCAGGGTGGGGTCATAGATGCTAAGAACGGGTGCTATGAGCATGGCCGTCTTAAGTGCTTGGAATGACCGGCGTGCGTCGTCATCGAATACGAATGGCACCTTTGGCGATTGTAATCTCGTCATAGGTGCAGCAATCCTTGAGTATCCGGTGATGAATCGCTGATAGTAGCCCGCCAACCCCATGAAGGAACGGACGTCCGTGGTGTTGGTGGGCTCGGGCCATACGTGGAGGGCCTCGATCTTGTCCGGGAGCGGACGGATGCCTTGCGGCATCACATAATGTCCCAAGTACTCCAGCTCCTGCCACGCGAATTCACATTTATCGCGGTTGGCTTTGTACTTGGCTTGTCGTAGCCGCTCCAAAACGGTGCGCAGGTGTTCCACATACTCGTCCACACTCCGGCTGTACACCAGGATGTTGTCGAGGTAGATAAGTACGAAACGATCCAGCATGTGTCGGAACTCCGTTGTCATAGCCGCTTGGAAAGTGGCCGAGGCATTCGTAAGGCCAAATGGCATAACCAACCATTCGAAATGCCCATATCGCGTCTTAAACGCGGTCTTGTAGCGGTCCTCCTTCCGAATCTCGAGTTGGTGATATCTGGACTTGAGGTCCAGCTTGGAGAAGAACTTGGCGCCGCCCAGTCGTTCAAGAAGGTCGTCGATGCGTGGGAGAGGGCCAGCGTTTCTGATCGTCGGCGCGTTGAGCTTGCGATAATGGATGCACAACCGCAAATCCTTGTTCTTCTTCCGGACGAAGAGAACAGGAGCACCGTATGGCGATGAGCTAGGCCGAATCCAACCTTTCTCCAGAAGGTTGTCGAGTTGTGCCTGAAGCACACTTAACTCTTCCTCGCTCATTCGGTAGATGCAACCGCGCGGAGGTACGGCCCCGTCCTCGAGGATGATCTCGTGGCGGATGGGACGATCTGGTACTACTCCGTGCGGGCCTTCGAACACGTCGCCGTAGGCGTCGAGAAGCTCGGTGATGCGTGGATCCGAAGATGAGTCCGTCGGTGTAGCGTCATGGGGCGGGAGGGCGTGGAGAAAAGACACCCCCATCTCCTCGATGTCGTCTCTGATGATGGAAGCTCGCATGCTTGCGGTGGATACCACGTGGCAGTTGATAGAAGGGTGAGGAGGAGCCACTGTGCGTGGGACTAGTACTCCGTTCCGATCACAAACGTGAACGGTGCAGCGGTAGAAGTTCACCGGGTGGTCCTCGCTTCGCAGCCATGACATGCCCAAGATCATGTCGAATTTGGTGTCCAAAATGTCAAAGGACACCGCCTCACTTGCGTGAGGGGCAAAGTACACTGGGACGTCATCAATGCACCGGTCGATTGACTTGTGCGTGTGACCGTATGCCAACGTGACTTGCGTGGGCTGGGACTTCCTCCGGACGAGTGGGCCAAGGCCGGCGCGCACCATGAAGTCCTGGCTGATGTAGTTGCGAAATGCTCCGCAATCGATCAAAGCGTCGCAGGTCGCCTCTCCGATCTGAATGCGTACATATAATAATGGTGCGTCGATGTCGTCGTACCGTTGCGTCTTGAACTCGTGGTCGATCTTCGCAATGTAGGCGTGAAGGTCGACAACTTCTACTCCGGCGTCCATCAACGGAGTCGGTACTGCAGTGTGCAAGTAATCCCGCAATTGTGCCATGAGCACGTTGCAATGCGGTTTCGGCAATCGACCGGACCGGGGAAGGGGCATCCATTGGAAGGCCGCAAATGTCAACGGGTCGAGCTCTTCAAGTCTTGACCATGACGTTGAATCCCCTGCGGTAGATGACGGCGAAGCTGCCGAATCGGTTGCCGATGGTGATGAAACCGTGCATGCGGTAGATTGTTGCACGTGGAGCGGTTGGTCCAGCGGCGGGACCAAATGGACAGCATATTCCTCGTAAGTGTACCGAGGACTTGCGACATGCGCATCCTCACCAGATGTGTAGGAGGCCGCTAGCAAGGCGGCCGAATCTGGCGGAGTGAGAGGTGGAGTCGCCTCACCTCCTGCGCGACTCAGTTTTCCGAGTTAATACGAGGCCGAACATCCTCCTTGCCTTGATCAGGGCATTGGGAGGTCTTGTGCTTGGTGTTGTTGCACCAATAGCAGCAGGCGTAGCGGCCGCGGTACTTGTACTCGGCCTCGGTCAAGGTAAACTTGACCCATGGTGGTGCTGGCTGTCCGTTTCCGGCCGGCGATGCGGTTTTCGCCTTCCCGTTCACTCGGGGCTTGTTGTTGCTTCGCGGCTGGACAGCAGCCACCTGATCTCCCTCACGTGACGCTTGGGTGGCTGCCGGGTCTTCCACGGTGTTGTCCGATTGGACTGCAGCGAACTGCTGCTGTCGCGGACCAGTTCTCTCCTTCTCCACATAGGTTGGCTGCCACGTTGACTTCTCGTGTGCAGCCGCCCTGTTGGTCTTGATGATCTCCCTTTCCTTGTCAATGATTTCAGCGAAGGTTGCATATTGCTCGCGATCACCAAGTGCGAGGCTCAATGCAGCACATGACCTGTTATAGAGCTCGCGGCGCAGATGCGGAAATGGTAAGTCCAGATCGGGTGTTGCCGCGATCTTCCGCCATTCTGTGAGCAAGTCACGTGTTGCTGTGTTGCCTTGCGTCATGGCGAAGAGACGGTTGATGGCGAGTGCAGGTGCGTCGTCCACGATGAACCGCTTCTTCCATAGCCGTGTTAACTCTTCCCATGAGATCTTGTCTTTCAGATCTGCGACGTCGACGCCGTGGGTGGATGCCAGGTGGCTTAACCAGATCTGGCATCCACCCTTTGAGTTAAGAAACAGGGCGCCGACGTACGCGTGCTTGGCGACTTGCAGAATCCGAAGTTGCGTCGTGAAACCTTCCCACCAGAGGACCGGGTCCTGATGCGTGTAGTCATCGAACTTCTCAATTTGAAAAGTTGGCATCTTGTAATGTTGTGTGCTGTTGCCATTCTTGTTAGGCAACCGCAGTTGCTGGACCTTGGTCTTCAAGGTATCCAGCTGATTGCTGATGGTGGTCGGCTCAGCGAAGGTGCTGATGTCGCCGAGCATTGCGACGACTTGGTCGACGTGTTCCTCCAGTTGGCGGTTAGAGGGTGCACTGCTGGACACACCAGCATCTGGTCCTGGTACAACTTGCTCCAGGTCCAGTACACTGGAATTGAGTGCCCGTGTAGCATCCTCGTGGCTCTGCACTATCCGGCGGAGGTTCGCCAACTCCTGGTGCTGTTTCTTCAGATCCTGGTACTGTTGCTGCGGTTCCTGGTTCTGTCTCTCTAACTCGGACTGTTGATAGTTGCAAGCGTATAACAACCGTGTCACGAGTTTGGAGAGGAACTCCTTGTGCTGCCCCTCCGGTTTCGCGTCGTCGCCGTTGGACGGTTGAAAGTGCCAGAACTTGAGTCTTTCGATGCTGGCGGCTTCATGCCGCTGCAGCAGATCCTGGGCTTCCTTGCGGCGTGCCTAGGTATCTGCGTCTGCTTCGGCCTGTAGCCGCTGCTTCTCAGCTGTTGCCGCTGCTTCAGCCTGTAGGCGGGCAGCCTCGGCTGCCAGCTGGCGCTGTTCCTCGGCCTCGATCAATGCGAGCTGAGTCTGGAACCACTGTTTGTAGTCGGCAATAGACTCGTTGGCCAGTTGGCCTGGCATGCCCAGAGCTGCGCCCGTCATGGTGGCGGGGCACTGCTGACGTGGCACTGTTGCCGTGGTACTGCTGATGTGGCACTGCTGACGTGGCACTGCTGACGTGGTACTGCTGATGTGGCACTGTGGCTGATGTGGCACTGCTGACGTGGCACTGTGGCTGATGTGGCACTGCTGACGTGGCACTGTACCAACTCGGAAATGCATGCAAAGGGGTGGGTGGGAGGGAAAACGTAGGTAGGCAACCAACCCAACAATACTTTCCTCCGGCCCTAATCAACAGATAAAAATAAAAAATAAAAAACATAAAAATAAACGAGGACTACTTCCTTTTTTTTTTTT